AATAAAAATATCTAAAATCAAACAGTATATGTAAATTTATTTTAAAAAGACAATTCAATTTTCATATTTTTCACATGAATGTGAAAGACTGTGCATTAAGTGGTACCATTTGTACGGTAAAAGTTAAACAACCAAAATAAAGGTCAAAAGTGAGCTTTTGAAAAATAAATAAATCTAAAGGACAGCTTTCTGAAATAAAGGATTGTCCTTTACAATAAAGGATCTATGGTCACTGTACTCATAAGGAACAGAGTAAGTCAGACCATTGGACCATTTAATTGAGGAATGCTGTTATTAACAGTGGCTCTCTAGTGTTTCAGACAGGAGTCTTCCTGATCCAACTGGTTCATACTGGGAACTGAAGCTCAGACTTTCTGTATGGGGTCTACCACTATGGCCCTTCCTTATATATCCTACTCTACCAAATTAATCACTTTCTCCTAGGGGCAAGGCACAAAGAGTGTGTTGCCATAATATGTTATGCCAGAGGCATCAGCCAGATTTAACAACTGTTAGCAAAATAACGTGGATTTATCCAGCAAATGCACTAATCACTCAAAAAGTCTACATTTTTCCTTGCATGGAGAAATTAACATCAATTCAAAATCATTTCTAAAATGTTCATTTACTCTGTGTTAAAACATTTATCAATAGAGTTCCGCCTGCCTTTGATTAAAATCAGACTGTACTATTTTCTACTATTTTAATTGTAGAATCCTGGATGCAGGACTGAAAGCCAACTGTTTTTACCGGCCATTGCTCTGGCTGGTATTTGTGTAATACAACTGCTGGGACAAACAACATTGGCAGTGATATATTATTTGCTCTTCAGTTTACATCAACAAATGCAATTTGCTGCCCACTGACTTCCTCTTGTTGAGGCTCAAAGAAAAAAGAAATCCCAACTTCAAAATTACTCAGATGACATGTTGGGGAAATATTTTAATACATCAAGTAATATTTATAATAATGCTACTCACTGTTCCTGAATTAGCATATTTCTTTTTCTTCATTTTCTTTTTGGGATTTACCACCTGAGAGAAAGAAGAAAAATGATGCTGATATAAACATCTCCATGAGACATCTGCCCTGGCCGGCCTAGTGTGTGATGTATAGTGGAAGCAGCAGACGCATTCCTGACATTTATGCATACTAATCCCATCTACTTACACAGCACTTTGTAGAGGAATTTCAGAAAACAAAAGAAAAGATGTAATGCTGCCCCAAGGAGTTTACAAACTCTATTTAAACAAAGAGGAAGTCTAAGACTGAAGAGGCAAGGGGGAAAGGAGAGAGGCACAGAGAACAACATACGGATGGTTATACTGCAAACAATTTCACTTGCAAATCATATGGCTTCCGCTTTAGTTACACGTGCTGGAGTTTTATTTCAGCAGGGCAGAGAGCAGGGGGTTAAGCCAAAGCCTTTCACAAACACACCAACACTTTTGAGAAGGGATATGAAGAATTCAGCTTGTCTTGTTCATTCTTGCAGCTACTCCATGAGCTACTCATTGTTATTCACCATGTACCAACGAGAATGGAAACTGAGACAGACATTAAAATTCTAAAGACAAGGAGAAGGTGAAGCTGTGCCTCCTGGGGTCCCAAATATCTGCAGTCAACAGAGATCTTTCTAAAAACAGTGAAGAATGGTAGCAGGGGTGATTCCTAACATGCCAAATATGAAGTATGAATGAAATCAGTTGCAACACTGTACATGCGCCATAGCATTGCATTACAATGTACTTGGTACCTACAGCCATCCAATCCTCCTCCCACTCACACCTACCCCGTTTTCTCAATTTGTTTTTATGCCATGCGTAGCCCATGATTTCCCCCAATCCCAGGTTTTAGTCTTATCACACCATGAACACCCACGGTATCTGGCAATGCAGCCTGCAGCCAGCACACAGCTGCCAACACGTGCTGCAGTGTCAGTGCGTTCTGAGCGCCTTTTCTCCATTGTAGGCTGCTACAGATCAGGTTTTATGTGTGCCACACAATCTGACAAAAATATGGCGTTAGGTACAACATTAATCTTCCTCAGACACTTATGTTTATTTTCACTGCTCCTTCATTTGTTTTAATCAAAGGAATATTTGCTTTCTGGCAGGGCAGTTGTCTTACAAATGTTTAACCAACACCTATTAAATCTTAACGGTTCGTAATGCAGCTGCATAAGGCTTTCAGGAGTTGGGAATGGAGCTAAAGTCCCCTGCTTGCTCTCTCCTCAAAGCCAGGATAAATTCTTCAATGCAATAAAAAAAAAAGAAAAAAAAAGAATAAGATTAAAAATGTATAATTTATTCATATTAGGAAACTCAGATTTCCTTGGTAAAAGATTTGGATTATTTTGGTGCAGAAGGTTAATTTTTAGCATGAAGTACACGCCAGACTGCTACCATCTCAGAAGTTATGGCACTATTCTGGGGGCCAAGCAGTCCTTCTGCTTCATTCATTCAACATCAAGCTATTAGAATGATTAGATGTTTTGATGCAAGACCTGACATTCAAACAAACTGGGTGTTTCCTTCTCTTCCAGATCAGAAATGTTTCCTGGGATATAATCCACGCAAACGCAATCATGAAACAGGAAATTATTTGAATTTAATGAAAAATAACTGAAAATGCAAAGTAAATATGCTGTGTAATATAGTATGGTAAATGACCATAGGAAGTGTACAAATTCAACTTCTTTCAAATAGATTATTGAAGTATGACAGTTCTAAGTTTAAAAGATAATATTTCTGAATTAAGATCTAATTCCCATTATCAAATTCTAAATTAACCATTCTGAGATAGTTTTCCTACTTAGCCTACAGTATTTCAAGAAATGAGAATAGACTTAAAAGTTGGAAACACAAATTCGAGATAAATCCAGTTCTGAAGGATCATTAGAAAGAAATTTGAAAATCAAGCTGCCACCATAATGTTTTTATACCAATCTATGGTGCAGGTGTATTTGGAATTCTGTGTATATTATTCATTGCATATTCGGGCTGTGCAAATCATTTGAAAGGGGTGGTTTTGCAAGCTACATTGGTGCCAGCAAAATACCCTTCTTCAAAGCATTAAAACGGATGCAACCTTTAGAAGGTTTGTGTGGCTACTTTGAAGGCTTACCAGAAAACCCCAGGAGATGCGTTGTCTGCATACAAATGCATGCGTACAAACAACCCCCAAAGCCCCTAAAGCAGCTACATGAAACTTTGAAGTAATGTGGCTCTTTGGGGAGGAGTGCTTCATTGATACCAGTGAATTTTTTTGAAGTGCCTATTTCAAATGTTTTATACAGTCCTACTGAACATCAGAAAAGATATACCAGAATGGTGGGAGAGTCAAGGCTAATCAATGGAAGTAGTTCTTCACAATGCAGATTCTCTGTGAGATTCACTAACACATGATACAGCAATGACTGGGTAATTTTAAATGATAGGGAAAATGAATGGAAGTATTGTGTATGTGCAGGCTACAAACTGACATTCACAGCTGGCCAGCCTCATGTTAGATAGTCAATCCACATCCACAAGTGAGGCATGACTCTTGGTCACATTCAAAATTAGATTGAGTCCCTCTCTCTTCTAGAGATAAAAGGGACTTTTTTTTAACCACAATGTGTAGTCGAACAAGGGAGAAGCCAAGAAAAAGAAGCTGGACAAGATTGAGGGTTCACTACTTCCTCGGGAGCCTCTGATTAGTCTCCCCAAAAAACTGGAGAAAGCAGAAAACTACTATTTAGGTATTTCTGTTGAAATATGCAAAGGTCTAGCTAGAAAACTGTGTTAGTTCCCCCCCCCCTTTTCTTTTTCTGTGTGGAGCAGAATAAAAGACTGGGATAAACCCAATTTTCTAAACTATGCAGAGAAATAATATTAATTTCTCTGTTTACTTTAGAAAATTGGGGTTATTTCATTTTTTTGTTCATATGACGGGGGCATGAAGAGTAAACATTTTCTTTAGGACCTTCTTGGAAACTATATACTCATATGGAATCTCTGTACTCTCTTTCAAGAACCTGCTAGAATGCTTTAGGTTTATTTGTAGCAGGCTAACACCATTTTATTGTCTACTTGGAGCATTTCTTTTGATTTTTCTGTGGATTTTTAGTTTAGTTGCTGACCATGATCAAGGCAACTCTCTTTTTCTAGAATGTTAAACACATGTAATTTAAAGTTTAACATTAAAAAGCAGCCTTGTGATTTATCTCTTTTTGATAATAAAATTTGATTTTGTCTATCTCTTGTGAGATTTGTCCATATTTCAAGGAAGAACTGAAGTCTTTTAGCCATGTGCCCCTAAGCTACACAGGAGCTTCTGTTATACAAACTATTCTATTCTATTCTATTCTATTCTATTCTATTCTA